AAAAAAATTGTACTTCAATGTCTTAATGATTGACAAATGATGACATATTTGGGTTTTTTTAAAAGAAAAATAAAAAAGTTCTGTTTAATAATTTAGTTTATTCAGCATGAAATGGAGTTCAGTTATGTCGCATGAGGCTGCATATTCTGCAATATTGGTGAGTCAACAGCGGGTCAGAGTATGAGCGGCTGCGAGACAGAGATGACCGTTGCTCTTTAAAAATTATGATATAAATCAAGTTCATTTAAATCAAGCCTTTTTACTAGTGATATAAATCGACTTGATTTAAATCAAATCCACCCTGGTTTAAGTAGAGAGACAAGTAGACCTTGACTGAATATTTGAAATTACAACAAACCTTCTCCCTGCATTTACATGATCGCAACCAGACCATTTTTATGACCGTTTAAACTATCCTGTCATGTGATTGATGTGCGACATTTTTTGCTAGTTTCCAGGATGTCAGCGTTCCAAATAGCATCCAAAATTGAATTAGAGTCCAAGGCAAAGTATTGCTCAAAGTTCCAATTTTATTAAGAAAGCCATGTTGGCACATCTAGGAAAACCCGAATCTGAATCTTCTCAGTTTTCCCCACTCAAGTTAAAGTTCATGATCTTGCCACAAGTCCATCACATGGTCCAATCTTCCACTGCCATGCTAGCATTCCACCCATCCAGTTCTGGTCAGGTGCAGAAGTGCCAAGACAAAGGATGACCTTTGCAATCTAGAAAGGAATTTTATTTTTGCTACATAACATTCATTCCGTATTATCCCCCCTCCCATTTCCCACTACAGAAACAGCATAATAGAATAATAGAAGTGTGATAGGCCAAAGATCCAAAAGGAACATGGCTGCAGGCCTGACACAGGATTTTCTTTAGGTTTTCAGCAAAAAAGGCCCTTTGGGTAAAATGGATTTTCTTAACAAGTTGGTGTTAATAACTGCCACAAAAAATGGTTCCAGTCACATGATGCCTCGACTTGGTATTGGAACAATTTACAACTAATTCTGGACTCAGTTTAGGTTAATAAGTCAAGGGTTACCTATATGGGGTTTTCTTTTTATTATCAATCTTGTGTTCTTCAAGTCTCAGACTTGAGCTAGATGCCATATATAGGTAAGGTTATGAAGGCTCTGTTGTAATTCCTATAAATTGGCTACTATTAAAGGCATAAAATATATATACAACAGCCTAAAAGCTTGAGATTTTTGTGATTTATCCTGAAATTTCTGTGGTTGCATGTAAATAGAGTTTGGATATTTATTGCTTACTGTATTTTTCAGAGTGTAAGATGTTCCAAAGTATAAGGTGCACCTAGTTTTTGTGGAAGAAAACAAGGGGGAAAAAATCTTCCACTACCTCCCAGCAGTTTGCCTCCTTGCAGCAAGCAGCAAACAGCAAACAGTACAGAAGATATTTCACACTCTCTTAGGGGAGAAAAAGGTGCGTCTTATATTCTGAAAAATATGGTATATTTGTGCTGCTTAATTTTGTTTGTTTTCATTTCTGACTATTTGTTCTTTGATCAAAGCCTGATGACTATTGCTGTGGGTTAACTTTTATTACATTGCTTCACAGGCTGCCTGCTGTTACTCAGGAAGATCATGAAACGAGGTCGACTTCCCAGCAGCAGTGAAGATTCTGATGACAATGGCAGTAAGTGCTTCCTTTTGTTGTACTGTGATCACACCAGGAGTATGAGCTTATTTACACATTTCTAAAGTGATACTTTAAATAACAAAGGTGTTTTGCATTGTATCAGCTGAGTAGTGTTTGCTAAAAGGTTGCTAAAATCAAGGAACTTTAAAAAGGTATGCCCGAGTAAGGCATTGTAAGAGTTTATTACACACTACAATAATAAATGTTTGAAACAAAAACACTGTTATGGTTCCAAATGTTTAGGAAAATCTTATCTGTTAGAATCGTTTCTCAATTCTCATTTTATAATTGTATATTTATAATTTTTCTTCAGCACTTTTTTCTTTTCTTTTTTATCAATAGTTCACTAATATTTGAGAGATATAGATTTTCTTGAGTCTTGATTTTCATTCTACAAGTGATCATTTGAAGCTTTATTATCAATTATCATTAATACTTGTGAAGTATCAATTTACAAGTGATTCCCTGGGAGAATTCAGTGCAAGAAGTGCAATTTGTCTTGCCCAAATGAACTTATTGACAGAGAAAATATTTTGTTAAATATGTTTTTAGAAGTATTTCTGGGTACAAATCAAGATGATTTTTTACTCCAGAATTGACCTATATGTGCAGTAACTAATATAAATCCCACACCAGGGAGCAAAAATACAATCTCAGAAGCACTAGTGTTACAAGCTTTTCTGCCTTGGAATATTGGACAAGTCTTTACAGCTGGTGATGAATTTCCAAGTGGATGTTATTTTACAGAGAAGTCATGCCTAGGAATTTCCTTCAAGATACATAGTGTTCTGGAACTTTCTATTCCAGAACACTATTCTGAACTTAGTTCAGAAAAAAATAATGTGCCATTGCATTCAAGACCAGATGAAGATTCTGGTATGTGTAGTACAGGATTCAGGAGGTGATAAATGAGGCTCACATTGAGTGGTGCCTTCCAGTCCAGCAGTGGTTGCAACAGATGGACAAGATATATTTGTGCAAAAGCTCTCCTGTCCACAGCTGCCATCTATCCATGAGAAGAAGCATGAGTACAAGAAAACCTCCAGGCTACTTAGTGCGGACTGTAATCTGATTTACGATGTGAAACATTACTAGATCTGGAGGAAGGGAGGGAGCAAAACTCCAGAACCATTCAGTTTTATCAGGGTTGAGCTGAAGTCCAGCCATTAGAAAAGCCAGGGGAGAGATGTAAAATTGAGCCACATTAACTATTGATAATACTTAATTACATGCTGATGGATGATGTCACCCAGAATTTTCATGTAGGTGTTAAATAGCAGGCCATCAACTGGAATTGGCCTTGGAAGAAAGTGGAGAACCATTGAAGAGCAGTGCCTCCTTTGGATTCGGAATAGGAAGTTATATTTGTAATGGAGAAAAATAGTTGTTTTAACTTACAAAGGTGTGTGAAATTAATATTTTCTTTATAAATTGCTTTCTACATTGTGATACATTGTTAGGTATGTGTGTATGTGTGTTTACGTTTTTGATGGAGCGTGGATTATGTACATTAGTTATATAATTAGAATTATTGAGGTTGGTCCAATTAATATTGAATTCAGATAACATGAATCAAACATATGCAACTAAAATATTTTACATCAGTAAATATGCAATAGGTTCAGAAGAATACTATATATCAGGTATTATACAAATTATAATATTGTATTAATCAGTTGTGCAGCTTATTAAGTTAGTAGTTGGGAGGTCAATCAATATATAATGCAGATAAGGATTATATGTTGATCAAGAAAATAGCAGTTAAATTTTAAATTTAGTTCCCAACTGGCTTGCTCTATCTTTTATTTTGCGTTTGTTCCAAGGTTAATATAGAATACATATACTTTGATTTCCCTTAGAGGCTTCAAGGAACTGCCATTTCTTTCCATTTTTGCCCAGTTTGAAGTGGGCAGAATTAGAAGAATTTCAGATTAAAGGATAATTTGTGTATTTCAGTCTACACAATAAATATATAAAATTATGTTCTCACAATGATATAAATCATAACAAAATAAGTGTGTAGAATCTTACTTTATAATCATATTATGTGCTGATATATATAGCCAATTCAGAAAAGGTTATCCAGCAGTTTTTGTGCCTAAGGTAGCACTAGAACTCAAAATCTCCTGGTTTCTAGTTTGATGCCTTAACTACTACATCAAATTAACAGATTTAAAAAGAAAAGTTTTAAAAGTTTTCCTTTTAAAAAGATAATATTTCCTATACATGTAGTTCTGTGAAATTTTGAGAGCTGTAATTCCAATATACTGTATCTTGAATTCATAGTTTGGAACTTTCACATGAATATCTGTTAGAAATCTCTCATGGGAACTTATTATTAGTAAGAATTATTATTGATTGCAGTGTTTCAGAATATCAAAGATATAGGCAGTCGGAATCCTTAGTACATTTATGAGGTAATCTGGGAAATGGGGGAAAAGAATAATAGGGTCATTATTAACCTTTTGAAGATTCCAGCTTTATCAGGTCTTGTTCAACTATATTATAGGAAGGAAAGTTAAGATTCCTTTTATCCTAATAATCTCCAATTTTTCGCATCTCCTTCAGCTGATTCCATTACAGTTATGAATTAGAATAGAACAGAACAGAATTCTTTATTGTTGGAGTTTGAACCCTGAATGCTGACACCAAGTGTGATTGGACACAGAAAGAATTTGTCTTTGGTGCATATGCTCTCAAGTGTACATAAAAAGACAAGGTACATTTGTCAAGAATCATAACACTTAATGATAGTCATAGGATACAAATAAGCAATCAGGAAACAATCAATATCAATATAAATCGTAAGGATACAAGCAACAAAGTTA